TAAGAGACAGCATATATATATATATATATATATATATATATATATATATATATATATGTATGTATTCAAATAAAATTTATAATAAACTTATAAAGCATATAAATAAAACTGCTTAGCACTGTTAGCACAAATAATGTATAAATCAAATAGATAATAATATTGTTATTGTTGTGTATCGATTTATTCAACAAGATGAATACACTGTCATTCAGCAAAACTCTCTGGTGGGAGTCGAACACGCAATCTCTCGCTATCTTGGCGAGTGTCAGACCGTTTAGACAACAGAAGCACGTACGATATCATATCGGGTCTAAGGCCAAGTTGGAGGAATTAAATCATACCGGAGAAGAAATGTATGAATAAAGATGAGCAAGTGAGTCAGACCGAAATATTATAATTTACATTTTGTAATTGTCAGTTAATGGAGGGCTGCTTCTTTGAATTTACGTTGATAAACAGTATTAATAGAACCTAACACTATTATACAAGTATAGTTGTAAAATTGTCTCAGGTAGAACATATTATTTTGAAACAACCCTCGTTACAAGCATCCTTACATTTATGTGAATTATTTAAATGCTTCAATATGTGATTTTTTGTCCATTTTTAAACGTTCGTTTTTAAACGTTCGTTTTTAAACGTTCGTTTTGTCCGTTTTTAAGCTTCCGCAAGTAAATTTGTATATTACACCCAAACGAAAATCAATGGGAAGAGGATCCTTAACTGAAAACAAAGTTCTGAGTTGCTTAATAACAGGTAATTATTAATCTAAACATGTACTCGCTGGGTTATGGTGGCAAAAATTATATTGACATTTTATTAATCGTCATTTAGTGTTTTTTCAGAGGCTCGTATTCCACGTTTACTTCAATAAGTGGATACGGATCCGTATGATACAGCGTACGACTAGGCAATGCTTGAATATGTGAAGTCTTTTTGGTTGATATTTGAAATGTTCTGCACAGACTGGTCATTGGAAATGATAGGCATGAGAGGTTTTGTATCCACGTTAGTCGTAGTATGGTAGGCTTTACGAGGCGTAGCATAATGTTCTGTTTGTCCAGGTTGAGAACTTGCATGGTTCTTGTTAGGTTGAGAGTATAGGTGATCAATCGATCCTGATCGGTTGGGAGATGTTGCACTTTTAAGGGTCCCAATGTCTTCAAGAGATTGATGTATTGATTTTCTATGTTTGACAGGCTTTGCATATAGATCTCCAAAATCAGTTATTCCATCTATTGATTGTGTATCTGAGTTTTGCTTTTTCTTTACTGGTTTTGCATATAAATCTCCCAAATCAACTATTCCATCAAATGATCGTGTATCTTGGTTCTGCGCTCCTTTTTTTGGTTTGGCATATATATGTCCATTATCATTTGTTTCATCATTTGACTTGGCATCCGACTTCTGTGTTTCTGCAAACGGATGTGCATACACATCATCAAAACCATGATTGTTTTTGTCAGCAGTATGGTTGTATTTATAAGAAATGTGCTTCTGGTTTGATTCAAGACGCGCCAAATCAGCAATGCGTTTAGAACTACCCAATGATGCTGTATTAACGCTGTTTGCAAAATCAATGGATGGTCTCCCCCTTGGAACGTTCTCTTGGTCACCATTTACATCAATGTGACCATCGTAGTGATGAAGGGATGCCGAAGGGTTTTCGGAAAGGGGGAAAGAGGTGTTGATACCATGATAAGCAGAGTTTTCCTCAGATATGCACAAATCTTGACCATCTAGAGGTGCACCCTGTGCAATGCTAGTTTTTCTTAAAACAGCTGTTTTGTTAGTTCTGTTTTGTTTCTGCCTTTGTCTGATTAATAGGAACAGAGTAACACATAACAGTGCCAAGGCTGTAACTCCTCCAACCACAATTGTTATTAATTGGAATTTATTATTTTTCTGATCTATATCAAATAATGAAATTATTACAGAATCATTACCATTCAATCCAGAAGACGTAATTGCGTTGCATCCGATCTCTTTTCCTGCATCTTTTGATTGTAAATGTGATATAATAATTGTACTCTTATCGTTTTTAAATATTGCGTTTGTTGACGTCAATGACTGATTATTTACAGTCCACTTGTAATCTACGATATTCCATGGACTCATTACTATACATGCAAATTCCAATGAATCACCAGCATTAAAATATGTTGTGCTAGCAATGATGGTGACCGTCGGGGGAGTTGCCACTGATATGGAACAATTCTGGTTCCCTTCAACGGCTGGACCATCAGCTCTACATGTGTAGACTGCTGTCTCATCCTGATCTGTCATTTCACGTGTAAATTCATAAAAATATGCAACATCGTCATTTTTATTACTTACAATATCTTCCTGCGTTGCTAATATTTCTCCGTTTCTGTACCATTGTAGCAATGGTCTTGGATAACTTCCATTAGTCATGCATGTCATCGTGACTTTATTCTTTGTGTTTAATGACGTAAAGTCAGCTTCGCATTGTGGATAGCTTTTATCCAACTTCGTTCCCTCGATGACTTCTAAAGTTGCTTTATTTGATGTAGATCCACGTTTACAGTAATATTGAGTTTTATCATCGTCCAATGTCGTATTTAATATTGTGAATCTACATTTTCCTCTTTGGTCATCAACAAAAACTGCATATCCAGGTACAGTATTTGCACCTTCTTCCCAAAGTTTCGTTGAAACGTTGAAATTTCGGTCTACTTGATACCAAGACCATGTTTTATTCTCTGCACTGTTACATACAAATGAAGCATTTCCTCCGACAAGCACCTGGAGATTCAGTGGTTGTATGGTGGTTTGAGCAACAACAAAACAGTTGTAATAACTAATGGCCACAAAAAGCAACCACCATCGAAGCCGAAACTCATAATGACATGCTAACATCTTACTTCACTTATTGACTTGCTAATTTAAACTAGAAAAACGTTCATATAATACTGAACGTTTGAATTGTAATACATTCGCCCAACAAATAGTCTTCCGCATATATGTTTCTCTATTTTTGTATATACGTTATGCATCATAGAGCTGGAAGTGACTTCAATACACAACCTGAATAAACATGTTTTATTTACATAGCTAATTTCCTTATATATGTGGGGTCTACATTACGTATGTTATGGCTTCCTGCTTTCATCAATAGTTCTATTTGTTTAATTTACGTTACATAATCAGTACTCTAATGCTTGAAGATGTGTATAAGAGACAGACATATACCAGAGAAACTACAATAATTTTCCCCCTTCCAGACTAGAAACTACATTATTTTATTTCGCCTCAAATCTTTTCAAGGAAGTACTATATGACTACAGTATTATAACTTTGGTTTTGGTTTTTCTTCTGTTCTTAAAATAAATTCACAAAGACCGAAATTAAGGTTGTGCTGGTAAACCATTTTTATTGAGTAAAGTTTAATCAACGTAAAATTGCGAAACAAAATAAAAGTTGTTATGGTATGCATCGAATAAGGCCAAAGTTGGGTCGCATGTAAGGAGGTGGGGCACGAAATTATTTTACCATCAGAATCTTCGTTCTTTGTCAATTTATTTAATGCCTCTGTAGAATAGTCAAAATGTGAACTTGTGTTTAAGGCTTATGATCATTACAACTTTACGCAATTCCTTACTTGGTTGTACACAATGATGATGATTGCAACTTTATGCGACTAGTGCGCAACTTCCTTACTTGATTAGTACACGGCGCTCTGGATTTGTAAGCAGACACACAATAGCTCACTTCAAAACTAACTTTTTACATTATATTTGACTTCATACATTTAAATTCTTATTGAATAATGCACATTAAAAAGTATATGATTATAGAACTACTGTAATCGATTTTAAATGATTTGTAATAGTGCATTGAACTTTAATTAAGATATAACGCCTTACCAATGATAGTATGCGGTGACCCATGATAGTATTAGTATTATGTACCTAGTATCTTAAGATTATTATCAATCGAATATCATTCATATATATATATATATGTAATTTTTATCAATAGAACATCATATATTTATTCTTAAATATTGAAATAAAATAATCATTTCTTTCACTTGAATAATGTTGTTTTCATAGTTTTATGGGATATAAAATAATAAAATCTAGGCCTATGATAATAGAAACAGGTGACACATTTGAACACTCAAGAAACCATAAAGTGCTTGTTGAAAATAAATGTCTTTAATATATATTTTGTATTGTCATAATATAAAATGAATTTCTTATTTTATAACATCCTGAGTTACTTGAATACGTTTAATTAACCAATAGAAATATGAGCTTCTAGCTGCGCACAAACAAAATTATATTAATTCTGAAATTTTGTTTTCGGTCATGTTTTTATATTGATTCAGAGCCTCATATTCTATGGGCTGCAAATATAATGGAGCCTCGAAATAGATATCTTGCCAAATGGGCGGTATTTGATGGGATAGAAGTCAGTGAAGAACGTACATATATATAGCACTGAGAGCCATTACTTGATATGTTGTACATCTATGAAATGCTTGAATATGCAAATTCCTCTTCGATGGTGTTTGAAATGTTTTGTACAGTCTGGTCCTTCGAAATGATATGCGGAAGAGAATTATTGGATCTATGTTGAATGTGGAATTGCAGGTCACAGAACTAGACTTAAACTCGTTTTTATTTTGTTTATTTGACTAAGTATATAATTCTGTAAACTGTCTAGGTTGAGCACTTGCACGGTCCTTGTTTGGTGAAGAATATAGGTGATCAACAGATTCTGACCGTTTGTAAGACAAACCATGAGGAGTTCTTACAATGTCTTAAAGAGGTGATGTATTGATATTCGATGGTTGATAGGCTTTGCATATTATAGATCTTCAAAAAATCAACAAAAAATAAACTTTTCCGTAAATCAATCGTATATCTGCATTCTGAGTTTTTTTTTTTATTGGTGTTGCATATTATCCCTTAGTTCATCATTTGACTTGGCATTAGGCTTTTGCGTTCCTGTAAACGGATGTGCATACATGTCATTAAAACCAAGGGTTCCTACAATGACTTCAAGAGATTGATGTATTAATATTCAATGTCTGATAGGCTTTGCATAGATCGCCAAAATCAACTATTCCGTCAACCGATCGTGTATCTGGATTTTGCGTTCTTTTTATTGATGTTGTATATATAGTATCTCCAAAGTTTGTCCATCATCTGATCTGACATCTGGTTCTTTTATGTCTATAAACGGCGGTGTGTACATACTGTAGGCCTATCATCAAAACCAAGATTGCCTTCACATTCAGTATGGTTGTATATGAGAAATGTGCGGGTGGTCAAAGTGATTTAAATCATCATCGTTGTCAGAATTGTACAGTGCTGCTGTATTAACGTATGTAGCAAAACCAATGGATGCCCTCTCTAGCCAAGAACGTTCATTTAGTCTGTATTTACATCAATGCGCTCTTCATAATTATGATAGAGCTCGGGGTCTTGGAGAGTTGGTGAGTTTCCGTTATAGATAGTAGCTGTCAGCGTTTGTCCTCGGAGAAATACAGATTTGGACTATCAAGGGGAACACAATGTACAATCTATTTTTCAATAAAGCTACTGCATTTCTTCTGTTTCGTTTTCCCTTTTGCCTTATTAAGAACACAGTAATACACACCAATGCCAAAGTTATCACTCCTCCAACTGCAATTGGTGTCGATTGCAATCCACTGTTTTTGTGATTTTCATCAACGAATGAAATCATTACAGAATCGTTACCATTTAATCTAAATGCAGTTTTTGTTATGCATTCAATGTTTTTCCCTCCATCTTCTTTCTGTAAATTCGATAAAACCAATGTACTCGATTTTGATGACGTCTCTAACTGGTTATCGAACATCCATACGTAATCAGTAATGTTTCATAGACTTATTGCCATACACATGAATTCTAGTGAATCACCAGTACTAAAATATGTTGTGTTAGCAATAATAATAACCGCCGGATTTTGGTCTCTTTTAACGGTGGGACCCTCTGCTCTGCATGTATAGATTGCTCTCTCGTCATCAACAGTAAACTCACGCCCAAGTACCTCAAAGTATGAAGTAGTTGTGGCGCCATTATATGCCCGACGGCGGGTCATAGGTCCCCGACGGAGGTCCCATGTCTCGAAAAAAAAAAGTGGGCGGCGTGGTCGGGCGTTGCTCAAAATCTCTCAAAAGTGTGTCACGGTTCGAAGCCCCGAAATCGAGTACATTGGTTTCGAAGATTTATTTAATCGATTTTGCGGTCTACCAATATGTAGAAAATACATGTACATTTTTCTCCTCGACAAACTGTGGTTTTCTCCTGGACACCTCCTCCTGGTGGGAGGGGGGGGGGGTCCCGACAGGGGCCCTGGGTTCTCAGCTGGCGCCACCCCTGGTATGAAACATCAACATCGCCAAAGTATACAAAATCACTCTGTTCTTCTAATATTTCTCCGTTTCTATACCATTATAATGGGTAATGAGGGTCTGGGATCCCCTCCTACGACTCTACATTTCAGCATTACTGTTTTTCTTAATGCTGACTGCTGTTATATTCGCTTCACACATTGGGTACGTTGAATTTAAACTCTTTTTTAGGACGATATATGGTAGATTTCGTCGATGCATAAAATCATTCGCAAAAGTAGTGGGCCTGATTATCCTCTAGTGTTGTATTCAATATTGTCAATCTACTGTGTTCTCTTTATTTATCAACTAAAACTTTATATCTACCTTTTATGATGTTTATTTATTTACTAATATCTTTAGCCAGGATGACACAATCATTTTAAAGAAATGTTTTTCATTGTGGTCCTGGATGTTTGAATATTCTTACCAAAGTATATGCGCCCCAGGTGGGCAGACCTTATACCACTTCCAAATATGATCAGTCGTCCTAATGTCCGTATTGTTACATTCAAATACAGCCTTTTCCCTAGCGAACACATGAACAATCAGTGGCTGCGTGGTAGTTTGTGCAACAACTAATAAGCAGTTAAAAGCAACAAGAGGTAACCACAATCTAAGAAAAATTACAAGGATGTTGTATTAACATTTTACTTTACTTCTAGTCATTGTGAAATGGTGGCATTATTAAACATTTAAGCCTGACTGGTACCGACTCGCTACTGTCTGTTAATCAAAGCGAGAAGGTAATGAATAGTAGGGCCTTATACCTTTTTTTGATATCATTGGTATCTATTCTTCTTTGTGTTTGTATACTGTACGCATGATTGTGCTAAAAGTGACTTAAACCTTCAAGGAACTGGAATGGTTTAGTATTAAGCGTTTTTATGTATTTCCTTATAGCATTTCCTTATACTGCAGTATCACGATTTGTTATGGCGTTCATTGATAATTATATTTTAATTATTATGTTATTAGAATAAATTATACTCCATAACTAAAATATGGAGTTGTTTTTAACATTTATAGTGCTTAGGCATTTATATGCAACTAGCAAGTGTATCTTTTTTTTTCTGGTTATTGCACACGTACTTTGCATCGACACATGATGGTACACTCCGACAGTATTGTATTGTGATATAGGCCGATGCATAATTTTGGTTAAACTGATGCCAGTTCATTTAAATCATGTATTCTCTACACCAGATGAAACTATAAATATATTAATGGTGTTCAGTGTTGGAAAAAATATACCGTAGAAACTTCAGATACTTTTGTGTAGGAGTATGAGTAGGAGTATTTTGGTCTAAGTTAACGAGAGAAAATTCCCTGCTCTTTTTCGAAGAATGTAGGCCTACTGCGTTCACATTCACAAGGGCCGTTGCACACATGACCAACGACTTTTTTAAACGAAAAACTGTGCGCTATTGTAACTTCTATTTCATATTCAGCCCTCCAGCTGAAACTCATGAACAGCGGATGGAATTGAACCAGTAACCAAAGATCTGAAAGGATTTTCACTGTTCAGCAGCACAACAGTTTAGCCGACTGAATTGACCTGTTCTCGGGGACAATTTCCTGCTCTTCTCCGAAATTCACATTCACAAGGGACGTTTCACACAGGACCAACGACTTAAACAAAAGAATGTGCGCTATTGTAACTTTTATTTCATATTCAGCTCTCAAGCTGAAACTCATGAACAGCGGGTGGAATTGAACCAGTAACCAAAAATCTAAAATGATTTTCACTGTTCAGCAGAACACAAGTTTAGCCGACTGAATTAACCTGTTCTCTTTGTAGATCAAGTACGATGTTAAACGGATTGGTCTAGATGTACATTTTATGAATAAAGCGTATTTATTATCTCAAATTAGTCAACCACTCTTCTGAGAATGCAATTTCTTACCATCCAATCAGAGAGTGATTTGTGTGCTCAAGAACAACAATACACAGTAGGATTTTCATCTCAAGTTTGTCATTGTAACATTTATTCAAAATAAAATTCAATTCATTACAGTTAAGAAACTGCAAAATATTATTACATACAGTGTAATACATACATTTGATGTTTTGATCACACTATTTGGAATCTGCAACCACCCAAAATGATATTAGTAGCTTTTGAATGAGATATTACCTGCATAATCGAATATTTGGCATCTATGATTAGAATTACATTAAGAACTTGGTCTTGCACTCCTAGAATATGACTCTTCTAGTTTTACCCTTTCGACTCTTCATATTTCGAAGACCAAAAATTAGGTTCAGATTAAGAAAAATATGTTTATAATATTTCCTTTGTACACATATCACACCTGTTACATCCCGTTTGATTGTTCTATGATATTTTACTATTTATTGCCAAATATATTCAATCATACAAGATTATGACTTATTTGACCAATGTCTTATGACGGTACCTTACCGGTCTAATAGACTGTGATTTCAGAATCTTCTACACTAGAAACATCTAGATTACATTAGAACCCATTACTTCAGTATATTTAAGAACTTTTGTAATCCTTTCCTTAATTACGGATTTCAACTGTTCATATCTCAAAAAAGCCGCCCGCTCACTCACTACGCCCAAATACCCAAGGAAAAAGCTGTCTAGTAGGCCTAGTAGTGACGTTCGAAATTGTTACTTGTTTATGTAATCAAGTGAAATGACATCACTGCAAACCAATCCAGATGCAGGAGGGAAGCTGCATACAAATTTAATGCATGTTTGGTTTTAACAATTAATATAAATAGTTTAACCTATATAAGAAGTCTGATAACGTGTATAAATACTATTGAAACACCAGTAATACAACTACATCTGCTTTGCGAATAAATAAGCCTATATAATTGTCTTCGGAAACCACAGAATGTATATTCAGCATAGTATAATAAATCATCCAATATGACAAACTTCTTGTGTTTCACAGAAGTGACATCGTCTATACACCATTGCAATACTGGTTTTAAGATTATACTCACTGTCCGCGTAACTAAGTATATATTAGAGTACATATACCATCAAGAGTGTTATTCACAGAGAATTACAATCTAATTGTAATAAAACATCATATATATATCTAATGCTGTGTTTTAAGATAGTTCATTACAAGGAGATTCCAAAAAAAGCCAAAAAGCCTGTGATGGCTTCAATTGCTGGCGATGTTTTCCGCGATGGAATTTTAAATATGCTTTTATGCAGTTACTACTGAACTGATATGGATATTAATATTTATATAATGCTATTATTATTCATGCCACTTCAAATAATAACCTTGTTAAACGAACACATATAAATATAAGGCATACGTTAATACACGATGAGTTCACAAACGAAACAATTACATCAGTTTAAAAACGGCATGTCTAACCAAAACTGTCAGAAATAGGACAATTCAATTTGAGAACGTAACAGAAAAGAACCATATCATAATAGTAAAAGAAATACAGTATTCAAATATGATTCATATACTAAAACATTGGCTCGTTAATCGATTCTGATGTCCAAATTTACTCATTCAATTAAATCCGACAACTGAAGTGGTGGCATTTTGTTGTTGAATTCAGTTCCGCGTATGTTGTTGTTGACTGGAACAGGCGCTTTGTTAGCTCTGTTTGTTTTCACATCTGCCATATTATTAGAAACGCAGTAATAGATAATACGAAGACTATAATTCCGCCTACTAATGTTCCTATCAATTGCAATGCATTATTTTCTAGATCTTCATTAAAAATAAAATTATCACAGAATCGTTACCATTCAATCCTGATGATGCATTCAATCTCTTTCAATCTCCGATTGTAAATTTGATATAATGACTGTATTCCTATCGTTTTTAAATATTGCCTTATGTGACATCACTAACTGGTTATCCACTTGGAATTTACGATATTCCATGGACTAATTGCAATACATGCAAATTTCAGTAAATCACCAGCATTAAAATGTGTTGGTGTGTTAGCAATTTTGGTGACTTTTTATGACCTTGCTTGCATCGACTTCATCACTAAAACATTCATTATCATCATTATCCTCAACCTTACTACATTTATCGTTAATATTATCGTCATTATCATCACCGTCATCACTATGCTGGATACAATGTCTCTCTGGAACTTCGTCTTTACGTTTCAATGTATTTCGATATGCTTATCAATGGAGTGTTAAAATATTTTAGACAATTAAAGTCTTTAATAATTCCAGTAACGGATCAATGTTAAACATTAATATGTTCAACCAATTGTAAACCAAAGGTTTTAGGCACATAAACTATTAATAATGATTATAATGTTATTATTATTATTATTATTAACATAAGTTTTAGACCAAATAAATAATTTACTCATCTCCAATTCTAATACCGTTATCCGTCTTATCATCATCATCGTATTGAAACGTCTTTACGTTTCAATGTATTTCAGTATGCTTATCAAATGAGTGTTATCAGCCTACAGATACTCAGTCATGAGTCAACATTTGCATATTTTTACTTAACAACTTTACTGCATAATCGATTAGTAATACTACTACTACTACTACTAATACTACTACTACTACTACTACTACTAATAATAATATTAATAATAATGAAACTGCGCCAATTAAGTTTCGCATTCTGGAATAAACTGCAACGTCTTTACCACGATCATGACAAAAAATACTTAATTTATTACACTAAATATCATTTTAATTGCTCTTTTAACTTGCTCGCTTGATGAGTGGTATACAGTACTTACTTTGCATCTTTATTTCATAGAAATAATATTGATATACATAATCGAATTAAAAAAATATTAAAAAGTTAATGATGTAATATTAAATGACAATGAAAATAATTTAAATAATGACATAACTATATACGAAGTCATACACGCCATAGAATTGCAAAATAAAAAAAAACGGTAAAGCCCCTGGGATTGATGGGTTGTTGGCAGAATTTTTTAAGCATACAGCCGTAGATATAATATAGGCCTATATAATAACCAAATTATACAATAACATTTTTAATATTGGGAACTTCCCACAACAATGGGCAACTAGCCTTATAATTCCAATAGAGAATAGAGGAAACTGCGATGAACCTGGAAATTACTGGGAAATATCTCTCATACCAGTGTTGGCCAAAATCTTTTTACACATTATGAATTCTAGATTAAATCATTGGGCTGACGAAAATAATATTTTACATCAAGAACAGGCTGGTTATAGAAAGGGGTTTAGGGTACCAGATAATTTATTCATTCTTTATACAATAATTACTAAATATTTATCCAAAAAACGAGGGAGAGTGTATGTAGCATTCATTGATTTTAAACGTGCTTTTGACTCTGTAGGGCATCAATTCCTTTGTACTAAATTGAACAATACAGGAGTGAAAGGTAAAATGCTCAAAATTATTAAATCTGTGTTCAGCAAACTTACAGCTCATGTTAAAATTGAAAATAATATTAGTAGTAATTACAAATGTTCTGTTGGAATTCAACAGGGGTCTCCATTATCATCATTTTTATTTAATATTTTTATAAAATAATGATCTCAGTCGAAAGCTAAATGAAGAGAACAAAAACGACAAAATCCAAATAGGTAATCTAAAAATTAATCATTTACTCTATGCAGATACTATTTAGCGATACTGTACGTGGTTTACAAAATTATTTAAATAAATTATCAAGATATTGTGAGTCATGGATTGCACTGTAAATGTTAACAAAAGTAACATTGTTGTTTTTGAAAAATGGAATAAACTTAAGAAATATGAAAAATGGAATTACAATGGGACTACAATCGAAATTTCCAAATCATATAAGTATTTATTAGTTAATAATAATAATAATAATAATAATAATAATAATAATAATAATAATAATAATAATAATAATAATAATAATAATAATAATAGTGTATATAGCGCAGATATCCATCTAGTGTAAGATGCTCAGGGCGCTTGATATGTGGACTAAGGAACTCGATCAATGACTTTCTTCCCCCCTAAGGGTCCCTTCGTGTCTGTGCTACCTGGTAACCCGGTACCAGCAACTCTCGTCGTCCGCCACAGGGACTGTCTGTTCCAGTACACTGTCTATTGATAAGATACAAATGAAATTCTGTAATTACATATTAGGAGTTGGCAACTCAGCACCCAATATTAGTGTTAGAGGAGAATGCGGGAGATACCCCATACATGTTGCATGTTTTGTTAACGTTATTAGGTATTGGTTAAGACTGATTTATATGGACAGCGAAAAATTTGTTATGCAATGCTATGACTTTCAATACAGAAAAACACAAAGAAACGAGCCTTGTTGGGCCTTAGATGTAAAAAATATATTATGTTCCATTGGGTTTGGAGATATTTGGCATGCACAAAAAGTCAACGATATTAATGAGTTTGTATTAAATTTAAAACAAATGTTAACAGACATAGAGAATCAAAGGTTTTTTGAAGAAATTAGGCAACATTTAAATTAAAATTATATTCACAAAATTAAACATGAATTCAGAGTAGAGGATTAGCTAAGAAATGTAGACAATCACAGACATAAACAAATCCTTACTAAATTAAGATTGGGGATATTAGCATTAGAATTAGAAAGAGGAGTATGGTATAATGTTAATAGAAATGAAAGATTATGCAAATTATGTTCGTTACAAAAAGTCGAAGATGAATATCATTTTACCTTTGTTTGCCCTTTTTATTCAGACATTAGAACTAAATTTCTATTTTCCTGTTACACAGACACTCCGTCTGAATTCAAATTTCTTACTTTAATGTCTACTAAAAATGTTGATATCATTTCAAAGTTATCAACATGCTTATTTTACTCATTTAAACGTAGAAAAAAATATTTAGATGCACTCTAATTTTGTTAATAATATCATACTTTGTATATTATTTGGGCATAGGCCTATATGATTAATAAATGTTCCTTGAATCTGTTTTCAAGGAAAAAGAAGTTTTTCTATGTTTGACAGGCTTTTCATATAGATCTCCAAAATCAGTTATTCCATCAATTGATTGTGTATCGGAGTTCTGCTTTTCCTTTACTGGTTTTGCATATAGGCCTATAGATCTCCCAAATCAAATATTCCATCAAAAGATCGTGTATCTTGGTTCTGCGCTCCTTTTCTTGGTTTAGCATATATATGTCCATTATCATTTGGTGCATCATTTCACTTGGCATCTGACTTATGTGTTTCTGCAAACGGATATGCATACACATCATTGCTAGCAGTATGGTTGTATTTATATGAAATGTACTCCTGGTTTGATTCAAAACTCCAAATCAGCAACGCGTTTAAAACTACCCAATGATGCTGTATTAACGCTGTTTGCAAAGCCAATAGATGGTCTTCACCTTGGAACGTTCTCTTGGTCACCATTCACATCAATGTGATCATAATAATGATGAAGGGTTGCCCAAGGATTTCCGGAAATGGGGAAAGAGGTGTTGTTACCATATGCAGAGTTTTCCTCAGATATGCAAAAATCTTGACCATCCAGAGGTGCACCCTGTGCAATGCTAGTTGTTCTCAAAACAGTCGTTTTGTTAGTTCTGTTTTGTTTCTGCCTTTGTCTGATTAATAGGAACAGAGTAACACATAACAGTGCCAAGGCTATAACTCCTCCAACCACAATTGTTATTAATTGGAATTGATTATTTTTCTGATCTATATCAAATAATGAAATGATTACAGAATCATTACCATTCAATCCAGAAGACGTAATTGCGTTGCATCCGATCTCTTTTCCTGCATCTTCTGATTGTAAATGTGATATAATGATTGTACTCTTATCGTTTTTAAATATTGCGTTTGTTGACGTCAATGACTGATTATTTACAGTCCACTTGTAATCTACGATATTCCATGGACTCATTACTATACATGCAAATTCCAATGAATCACCAGCATTAAAATATGTTGTGCTAGCAATGATGGTGACCGTCGGGGGAGTTGCCACTGATATGGAACAATTCTGGTTCCCTTCAACGGCTGGACCATCAGCTCTACATGTGTAGACTGCTGTCTCAACCTGAACTGTCATTTCACGTGTAAATTCATAAAAATATGCAACATCGTCATTTTTATTACTTACAATATCTTCCTGCGTTGCTAATATTTCTCCGTTTCTGTACCATTGTAGCGATGGTCTTGGATAACCTCCATTAGCCCTGCATGTCATCGTGACTTTATTCTTTGTGTTTAATGACGTAAAGTCAGCTTCGCATTGTGGATAGCTTTTATCCAACTTCGTTCCCACGATGACTTCTAAAGTTGTTTTATTTGATGTAGATCCACATTTACAGTAATATTGAGTTTCATCATCGTCCAATGTCGTATTTAATATTGTGAATCTACTTTTTCCTCTTTGGCCATCAACAAAAAATGCATATGCAGGTATAGGATTTGTACCTTCTTCCCAAATTTTTGAATCGTTGAAATTTCGGTCTACTTTATACCAAGACCATGTTTTATTCTCTGCACTGTTACATACAAATGAAGCACTTCCTCCGACAAGCACCTGGAGATTCAGTGGTTGTATGGTGGTTTGAGCAACAACAAAACAGTTGTAATAACTAATGGCCACAAAAAGCAACCACCATCGAAGCCGAAACTCATAGTAACATGCTAACATCTTACTTCACTTATTGGCTTGCTAATTTAAACTAGAAAAACGTTGATATACCGTTTGAATTGTAATACATTCGCCCAACAAATAGTCTTCCGCATATATGTTTCTCTATTTTTGTATATACGTTATGCATCATAGAGCTGGAAGTAACTTCAATACACAACCTGAATAAACATGTTTTATTTACATAGCCAATTTTATTATATAAGTGGGGTCTACATTACGTATGTTATGACTTCCTGCTTTCATCAATAGTTCTATTTGTTTAATTTACGTTACATAACCAGTACTGCAATGCTTGATGATAGAGAAAGAATATAAATGTTGAACTCTGTCAGTCAAAACAAGATTAAAGACTCAAATCATTTCATTGTCTATTCTGAGCATTAAATAAATTCACAAAGGCCGAAGTTAAGGTTGTTGTGGTAAATCATTTTTTTTATTGAGTAAAGTTTAATCAACGTATGCACGTAAAATTGCGAAACAAAATAGAAGTTGTTATGGCATGCTTCGAATAAGGCCAAAGGTGGGTCGCATGTAAGGAGGTGGGGCACGAAATTATTTTACCATCAGAACCTTCGTTCATTGTCAATTTATTTAATGCCTCTGTAGAATAGTAAAAATGTGAACTTGTGTTTAAGGTTCATGATCATTACAACTTTACGCAATTTCTTACTTGGTTGTACACACTGATGGTGATTGCAATTTTATGCTACTAGTGCGGAACTTTATTACTTGATTAGTACACGGCGCTCTGGATTTGTAAGCAGACACACAATAGTTCACTTCAAAACTAACTTTTTACATTATATTTGACTTCATACATTTAAATTCTTATTGAATAATGCACATTAAAAAGTATATGATTATAGAACTACTGTAATCGAATTTGAATGATTTATAATAGTGCATTGAACCTTAATTAAGATATAACGCCTTACCAATGATAGTATGCGGTGACCCATGATGGTATTAGTATTATGTACCGAGTATTACCAAAACCATAAAGTGCTTGTTGAAAATAAATGTCTTTAATATATATATATATATATATATATATATATATATATATATTGATTGAGAGGCTCATATTCTATGTGCTGCAAATATAATGGAGCCTCGAAATAGGTATCTTGGGCGGTATTTGATGGGATATAAGTCAGTGAAGAACGTATAAATATAGCACTGAGAGCCATTACTTGATATGTTGTACATCTATGAAATGCTTGAATATGCAAATTCCTCTTTGATGGTGTTTGAAATGTTTTGTACAGTCTTGTCCTTCGAAATGATATGCGGAAGAGAATTATTGGATCTATGTTGGATGTGGAATTGCAGGTCACAGAACTAGACTTAAACTCGTTTTTAATTTGTTTATTTTACTGAGTATATAGTTCTGTAAACTGTCTAGGTTGAGCACTTGCACGGTCCCTGTTAGGTGAAGAATATAGGTGATCAACAGATTCTGACCGTTTGTAAGACAAACCATGAGGATTCTTACAATGTTTTCAAGAGGTGGTGTATCGATCGATATTCGATGGTTGATAAGCTTTGCATATTATAGATCTTCAAAAAATCAACAACAAAAAAATCAACTTTTCCGTCAATCAATCTGCATTCTGAGTTTTTTTTTTATTGGTGTTGCATATTATATATCTACATTATCACTTAGTTCATCATTTGACTTGGCATTAGGCTTTTGCGTTCCTGTAAACGGATGTGCATACATGTCATTGAAACCAAGGGTCACTACAATGACTTCAAGAGATTACAATAGGCAAGTGTATCTTTTTTCTGGTTATTACACACGTTCTTTGCTTTGACACATGATGGTACACTCGGACAGTATTGTATTGTGATATAGGCCGATGCATTATTTTGGTTAACCTGATGCCAGTTCATTTAAATCATGTATTCTGTACACCAGATGAAACTATTAATATTTTAATGGTGTTTAGTGTTGGAAAAATATATACCAGAGAAACTTCAGATAGTTTTGTGTAGGAGTATGAGTAGGAGTATTTTGGTCTGAGTCAACGGGGGACAATTCCCTGCTCTTCTCCGAAGTTCACATTCACAAGTGCCGTTGCACACAGGACCAACGACTTAAACGAAAGAATGTACGCTATTGTATCTTCTATTTCTATTCAGCCCTCAAGCTGAAACTCATGAACAGAGTATGGAATTGAACCAGTGACCAAAAATCTGAAAGGATTTTCACTGTTCAGCAGCACACAAGTTTAGCCGACTGAATTGACCTGTTCTCTTTGTAGATCAAGTAGATGTTAAACGGATTGGTCTAGGTGTACATTTTATGAATAAAGCGTATTTATTATCTCAAATTAGTCAACCACTCTTCTGAGAATGCAATTTCTTACCATCTAATCAGAGAGTGATTTGTGTGCTCAAGAACAACATTACACAGTAGGATTTTCGTCTCAAGTTCGTAATTGTAACATTTATTCAAAATAAAATTCAATTTTTTTGAAGTTAAGTTAACTGCAAATTATTATTACATGCAGTGTAATACATACATTTGAAGTTTTGATCACACTATTTGGAATTACCCAAAATGACATGAGTAGCTTTTGAATGAGATATTACCTGCATAATCGAATATTTGGCATCTATGATTAGAATTACATTAAGAACTTGACTTGCACTCCTAGAATATGACTCTTCTAGTTTTACCCTTTCGGCTCTTCATATATCGAAGACCAAAAATTAGGTTCAGATTAAAAAAAAATATGTTTATAATATTTCCTTTGTACACATATCACACCTGTTACATCCCGTTTGATTGTTCTGTAATACTTTACTATTTATTGCCAAATAATTTCAATCATCCCAGATTATGACTTATTTGACATTTGACCAATGTCTTAGAACGGTACCTTACCGGTCTAATAGACTGTGATTTCAGAATCGAATCTACACTAGAAACATCTAGATTACATTAGAACCATTACTTCAGTATATTTAAGAACTTTTTGTAATCCTTTCCTTAATTACGGATTTCAACTGTTCATATCTCAAAAAAGCCGCCCGCTCACTCACTACGCCCAAATACCCAAGGAAAAAGCTGTCTAGTAGGCCTAGTAGTCACGTTTGAAATTGTTACTTGTTTATGTAATCAAGTGAAATGACATCACTGCAAAGCAATCCAGATGCAGGAGGGAAGCTGCATTCAAATTTAATGCGTGTTTGGTTTTAACAATTAATATAAATATTAACCTATATAAGAAGTCTGATAACGTGTATAAACTATTCAAACACCAGTAATATAACTACATCTCTTATGCGAATAAATAAGCCTATATAATTGTCTTCGGAAACCACAGAATGTATATTCAGCATAGTAAAATAAATCATCCAATATGACAAACCTCTTATGTTTCACAGAAGTGACACCGTCTACCATACTGGTTTTGAGATTATACTTACTGTCCACGTAACTAACTAATTATATTTAGATATATACCATCAAGAGTGTTATTCACAGAGAATTACAATTTAATCGTAATAAAACATCAGATATATGTCTAATGCTGTGTTTTAAGATTACAAGGAGATTCCAAAAGAGCCAAAAAGCCCATGATGGCTTCTATTGCTGGCGATGTTTTCCGCGACGGCATTTTTAAATATGATTTTATGCAGTGACTACTGAACTGATATAGATATTATTATTCATATAATGCTATTATTATTCATGCCACTTTAAATAATAATTTTGTTAAACGAACACATATAAATATAAGGCATACGTTAATACACGATGAGTTCACAAACAAAACAATTACATCAGTTTAAAAACGGCATGTCTGACCAAAACGGTCGGAAATCGGACAATTCAATTTTAGAACGTAATAGAAAATAAGCACATCGTAATAGTAAAAGAAATACAGTACTAGAATATGACTCTACGTTGGCTCGTTAAGTCGAATCTGACGTCTAAATTTACTCATTCAATAAAATCCGACAACTGATGTGGTGGCTAGTTATTATTTTTTTTGGTTTAATTCAGTTGCGCGTATGTTGTAAATAATGTTGGATTTAGTGCTGTGTAAATATTGGTGGAGTTGTTTTTTCTAAAGGTTGTTTGAATGTTAAATTCTGATATAAAGGTTCATCCCCTTCGTCGAGGTTTTGACTGGAACAAGTGTTTTGTTAGCTCTGTTTCGTTTTCGAATCTGCCATATTATTAGGAACGCAGTAATAGATACCAATTCTATACTATACTATACTATAACCGCCTACTAATGTTCCTATCAATCACAATGCATTATATTCTAGATCTCCATTAGAAATAAAATTATCACAGAATCGTTACCATTTATCCTGATGATGCATTCAATCTCTTTTGCCGCATCTTCCGATTGTAAATTTGAAATAATGATTGTAGTCCTATCGTTTGTAAATATTACGTTATGTGACGTCATTAATTGGTTATTTAAATCTTTATCAAATTAAGTGCACAAATGATGGTACGCATTATCTTAAGATTAATTTTATTAGTAGAACATCATACATTTTATCATTTATACATTCATAACGTTATATATTTATTCTTAAATATTGAAATGATATATTCATGAATTCCACTAGAGATGAGGTTTTTTTTTTTCAGAGATTGCATGCAAATAAAATATATAATAAAAAATACAAGTGACAAAATTGGACACACAGGAAACCCTAAAGTGTTTCTTAAATATAGGAATCGTACAATTTAAAAAAAAAAGTGTCTTTATAATATTTTTTTAATGTCATAATGTAAAATGAATGTCACATCTTATAAAATCCTGAGTAATAGTTACGTAGGTGTAATTAACCAACGGAAATCTGGACTAATTAATAAGAAAGGAAAAGAAAGAAAAGGAGAGAAATGATAAAGAAATACAAGAAAGTAAAGACAAATGAAAGATAAGTAATATAAGAAGGGAAACGGAAAGAAATGATAAAGAAATATAAAAAAGAAAAAGAAAAAAAAGAAAAGGAATCATAAG